GGAAGAAGAAAGAAAGTCCTGAAGTATTGGACAATACAACTAAGCCTATCTCAAAAAATCTTATCTATCCTTCCCCCAGTGACCATGACATTGAAAGAATCCCACCAAATAGAACTTTCCCATGCTTACTCCGAAACCCCCCATAAAGTTAATGGACATTTACAGGAATCAATCTCCCCCAACATTACCATATAAAGAGTAAAGTAAAGTTTAGGATAATAGAAATACATGCACTACAAGCTTTACATGGTCTTCTCACTTGCAGCAAACCATACAATTGAGATTTAAGAAAGATTAGCAAAAGAGCAATAATTTTAGAGGAATCCCACAGCCTCTATAGGACAAGGACGATTGACCTGCAGCAAGGCATACACTACCTTTTGATTCAACAAGTTTACCTTCTTCTGGCACGAAGTACAAGCAGTAAAGCTGAGTATTACAGCTTTTTGTGTAGTTCAAATGCCAGAAGGCCATATCTCACATAGGCATAATAATATGAAAAATTACTTCCCAAAAAGCACCAAAGCTCTAGAATATCAACAATAAACTCATAAAGTCATGGATCATTAACATCATAAAACCCATCAACTTCAGAACTTTCAAATGAGCATTACACAGATAATTTTGTTTTCCACATGCTTTCAATTTAAATTTAAATTTAAATTTATCCAGGCACATTTAATATGCTTCCATGTGAGTCTTTAATTCTACACAAATCATGTGCATTTAATGGCTCGTAATGGAACTCTACTCGAGTTAGTGCACGATAACACAGTTAATACGATAACACATATGATTAAATTCGACCCAACAGATGCATGTTTAAAATGAAGCCAAGTGTGATTAATCTACCCACCATAAAGCAGTTAACAGGGATATAATATCATGTAAAACTGTGATGATAGTAGCTATGCATTATCAAATTTTTTAGCAACAAAAAATTTAAAATTACATTTATGCACGAAATACTGATTTGCTTGTCAAAATTACATGAAATCAAGAAAAGACAGTAGAATGAGCTGCTGACCTCCTGCCCAGAGGATGAACCATAGATGGAACTATACTGCCCACCATAGAGTGATGGTGGTGCTGCAGAATGACCATGAGCCCGATATCCAGCCGGGTCTGATTCTTGACCGGTGCCTCCTAACATCAAGGCGTGTCGAGAACCCAAAGACCCGTCTGAACCCCCAACTGAACTCCCTGGGAATGCACCTCCCAACTACAAAAGAAACAAAATAAAAAGATAAATTCCCAGCCGCATATGAATAAATAAACGTTAACCACTTGCTGTAACTTCCACTAACAGTTAAATTACATATCAAATAACAAATGGTGATTAATAAACTGAAGAACAAAAAGTTACGTTTTGGTTAGCATATGAGGATTGAGTAGAGTAAGGTTGCTGTTGTCCATAACCACTGCCTCCCCGAGAGGGATACATATCTTGAATTAAAATATTAAACCAATCTACACAAAATTCATGGGGGGAAAAAAACACTAGAAAGGGTAGTTGAAACGGTGAATTTCAGCCGGCTATTAATAATCTCAAGAATCAAGTAGAAGAAGGGATAATCGGATAAATACCTAAAAACCCTAGTTTTGGCAAAGAGACGATTATAAATAGTGCACTAACCTGGCCCGTAAAAGGTTCGGGACCCGCATCCGGATTACAGCCTTGGTTGTTTCAGTCCTCGTTAAAAATAGAACGAAAAATATAATCGTTACGGATGATAAAAAATCAAATATGGTGACTTTATGTGATATATAACCAACATATTTTTTCATTTTAATAATCAAATAATGGAAAACAAACGGGACTTTTTTCAAAACATATTTTTCTCCATCTTCTTTTCAATAACATCCTTTAATAAAATATTATTATATATAAATTCGAAAATTTTCTTTATTTTTTAATAACACATTTTCTATCTTAATATCAGGGCTGCAGAAAAAAAAAATTGAAATCGAAATCGTTGAGTCGAAACCGTTGATTCAGATCCACGTAGACCCGTGGTTTCTTTTCCCTCAAATCGAAGCAAGCCGTTTCAAAATGACTTGGTTTAGGTTTTGATTTTTAAAAACCTCACAAAATCAAACTAAATCGTTTTTAATTTTTTTAAATAAAAAATAATTTTATTAACTTAAAAATTTTACAGCTTTCACTTTTCAAAAAAATACCAATTTAACAATACAAATTACAATCAGTTTATTGAAATAATCATAGAAAGTAATTAGATTCATCATTATTGACCAATGACTTAACAGGCTCACAATACATGTCCTTACCCAATATTTAAACTAACCTAAAATTATTCCAAAATCATATGAAATAAAAAAAAAACATATATTTTCAATAATCCAAATCATAATTTTACAAAACTACATTAACAAATCACGTCCAAAGTTTCATGGTAATTATGAATGTTATTTAACATTTAACATTATTAGTTATCGTTTACACTTATATTTAACTTATGTTAAATATATTACTATAATGTCGAAAGGTAAACTGCAGATTAAAATCTAACAAAATAGCAAATTATGGTTTGGTTTGGTTTGGTTCGAAAAATAAAATGGTTTGGTTTGGTTTGAAAAAATTTCAAAATGCATAAAATTGTTTGAGTTGAAAATATAGCACAAACCGCCTGAATTGAATTGTGTTCACCCTTACAAAATACTATTCCAAATTACATTTTTTTCAAAAAAATGGGACTTAAACATGTCATGAGTATGACTCATTTTAAAATTAAGAAACAGTGTTTTTTAAAACTTTAAAAATCAGATATTAATTAATTTTATTTATTAAATAATTAATTATATTTTATTAATTAAGCATAATAAGATGACAATTCTGTACAATTTTGTTACAAATTATCGAATTAATTGATCAAAAATAATTTTTCAATCACAAATCAAAAGTTTTATAGGTCATACATTAATTCACGATCACACATCAAAAATTTTATAAGCCACAGTTTATTTACCGATCATAAATAAAAAAATTTATAAGTCATAACTTATTTAACGGTCAATTATTATCAAAGTAATCAGTCAGGCATCAATACTCGATCACAATTTAATAAATTATAAGTCAAATATTATTTATTGGTCGCAATTTAACTAACTTACTGGTCACGTTTAATCAAATAGTTGGTCATATTCCACTCCACTCCACCCCACCACCACCGCAAGCCAACAGCACAACCACCACCACCCAAAGACCACACAAAAATTAGATCTAAAATAAGGTTATTGCACAACCAGGTCGTGGCTTCGCGACAACCGCGACGTCATGTCCTAACTACCATCATCATCGGATTACTAACATCACCACCACCTTGCCACTGTGTCAGCATTACAA